CATCAAAAATGAATTTAGTGGAACCTGTTTTGAATGTACATTAATGCAACATAGATGGGCCCAAAAGCCCTGGGGGTCTTTCCTATCATGCCATATGTACATATAGTATGATGGAAGTAAGGGACCTACATTGTAAACCATAGGGATTCTTTGTCAAAATATATGAAAATTAGAACATTTCATGAAACATATAAAAGGGTTACCACATATTACTTTCTATAAAAATGAATAATGGCTATGGGAAATAAAGCAATTGATAAAGAGGGCTAATGGTTAGTTTATGTTTTGACTCCCCTTCCCCCCTTGCCTACATTTTCCACCCTGAGCAGACAAAAGAAAATGTTTCCTGAATGTTTCTGAATGGGAAGCATGCCATAAAATAAGCCAATATATTTTTCAAAAGAAAAAAAAATAGCCTACAAACATATGTTATACTATCTGTGCATGACCAAAACCATCAGCTATAGAGCCCAAAAGGAATATGTTCATGGAACAAGGCCACCAACATCAAAACTACTTTTCCCAGTAGTGCACACATCATCAGTGTTTAGATGCAAGGTCATTTACTGATGCCACTTATAGAAACCTGGTCTCTTAAGTGATTTCACCAAATGGACCTCATAATGTCCAACTAATGTGCTAGAGATCTGGAGCTCTAATTTCTCTATAATCTCATGTCACATTTACACTGGCAAAAAAAATGGTGCAACCTCACTTTGATTCTTCAGCTGATCCATTTCTTTATATATATGTTGATTTCCTATTCATTGGATTAAAGAAGACATTTGTTTGGTATCAAATTTTTACCTTACATTTATACCTGTTGAATACCAACTACTCCCAGGNCCCCCCCCCCCCCCCCTCGCCTACATTTTCCACCCTGAGCAGACAAAAGAAAATGTTTCCTGAATGTTTCTGAATGGGAAGCATGCCATAAAATAAGCCAATATATTTTTCAAAAGAAAAAAAAACATAGCCTACAAACATATGTCATACTATCTGTGCATGACCAAAACCATCAGCTATAGAGCCCAAAAGGAATATGTTTGTGGAACAAGGTCACCAACATCAAAACTACTTTTCCCAGTAGTGCACACATCATCAGTGTTTAGATGCAAGGTCATTTACTGATGCCACTTATAGAAACCTGGTCTCTTAAGTGATTTCACCAAATGGACCTCATAATGTCCAACTAATGTGCTAGAGATCTGGAGCTCTAATTTCTCTATAATCTCATGTCACATTTACACTGGCAAAAAAATGGTGCAACCTCACTTTGATTCTTCAGCTGATCCATTTCTTTATTTATAAGTTGATTTCCTATTCATTGGATTAAAGAAGTTTGTTTAGTATCAGATTTTTACCTTACATTTATACCTGTTGAATACCAACTACTCCCAGGTAATTCAATCATTAGGCATTTACGGTTGGTGCCAATGTGATGTGAAGTACCAGTTCCAGAGTTCATTACAAACATGATTCTCACAAGCATCATTCTCAGGATGGAACTTGGGGTACCAATTTCAGAGTTTATTGCAAACACCACTTATGTAATGGAACTCAGGGTACCAGTTCCAGTTCCAGAGTTCACTGCAAACACCATTCTCAGCATGGAACTCAGGGTACCAGTTCAAGAGTTCATTACAAACAATTATTGGGATATATATAATATAATAATATTTTTTTGTTGTTATAATAATAACAATTATTGGGATGGAACTCAAGATATTAATTTGACTTGTATTCAAATGTAAAAATGATAAGAAAAATTAAAAGCATTTCACAAAGTTTAAAGTACCAGAAATGTTTAATATATATGCAAATCCCCACCTTAGGCTGCAGTTACTTAGGAATACCAAAACCTTTATCCAATTGTATCTATTATTATTGTAAGCAATGAATAAAAACATTCCCCTCCACATCTCTGAGGCAAAGAACATTTTGTCCAAAATAACTCTTTTTGATTCCTGTTCACAATTTAAACCTGACCAGAAAGCTCTTTTATTAGAACCAGGAACTTTTATCATGTCCAACAAATTTATTTTACAATAGATCTATCCTTAATGTTATAATTTTACAAAATATAATTAAATAATAATAATTCTATAATAGATCAAGCATAACAGTGATGCACACTGACCTCCCTGTCATTCTCAAAATAAAACGTGCATACATTTTTTTATCTAGCCACAGTGTTTCTCTAAGCTCTGTGTGTGTGTTATACCTACCTGAGATATCCCTACCTGGTGATGGGGAGCTATCAGGTGTGTAAGTGCAGGCACAGGGAGCACACACATGGGCTCACAGACGTTTTAACAAGGAGAGATAAGATCACGTCAATCAGTGTGATGTATTTACACCTGGGATTGAGGCTGACATTAGGATGTTATATTACATCTGGATCAAGGTGTTGGTTATGTGGTCACTCGAGTTTACTTGTCTGTCTGTCTTTCTGTCAGTAGGTCTATCCATCTCTCCTACTATCAGATATGGAAAAGCATACAGAAGCATACAGAAGGTGGACAACCTGCCCATGTGGCTTATTCATCTGTCTGTTTGTCTGTCAGTCTGTCTGAAAGGAGCAGAAGAACCAATTATTTACATAATGATTGACCAGCAATGAAGATGACACACTAATCTTGACACTTGGCAGCAAAAACCCATATGCCCTTCTACCAGTCTTGTTTAAAGAAAAAAGAATGAAGCAATCATTGTTTTTAATGATGCCATTGGCACTAATATTGTTAGAAATCGTCCTGTGATGTTCCAAACAGCTCTTAAATTATACTGTTTAACACTGCCTTAAGAAATACTGTAAACGTTAAGTCCAGAGAGAAAAGTCAATAGGTAAGCCTTCAAAGATATACCTGTGTATTCACACTGCCACTGAATATAAAGTAAATGAAAATCCAATAATATCAATCAAAACAATGATAAGATCAGATAATGCATCAAGTGTCAAGGAGTAGTTAAAGATGGAATTTAATTGCAGGTGCAACCTAATGCATTGATGTCATATAGTGCAGAAGACAATTACAGATGATGTACAAAATATGGTTCATTCACTCCCAAATATCTTGTCATGCAATGTTGTTTGCTGACTATAATACTATAACATTTATTTTAACCAATTCAAATGTTCGAGTTTTTTTAAGCAATAGATTATATCAATGATTATATAATACCTACATAAAATCAAGGAAATTGGCTACCAATTATATGTACAAAATGCGAAAATATGTGGTTCTGGTATGGGTCTTTCCCATATAGTTAAAGACACCTGTCTCTGCCTCCAGCCCCCCCCCCCCATATGACCCCCCCTCTCCTTTCCCCCCAAGGACATCTGTCTACCAGCTGTCTGTTATCTGTCTGTATGCACAAAAGCAACCAGTTCATCTAATTCCAGAGTCACTGGACGGAAACCCAGGTGGGTAAGATCTAAGGTAAACAAATAGCAGAACATTTTTTTACAACTAAAACCAACCCTGCTTCACATCTATCAAAATATTGCTGTAAAGGTAAGGATAAAATATTAGGAAGAATTTCATAAGGGTGTCTTCTTTGATGTTCCAAAAATCATGTTTTTTCAGACACAGGTGCTTAGTGTAGCGTATGGAATGTGTTTTTCCCATTACCGTCTACAAACATCTACAAAGTGTGTTTACTGTATGATGGTTGTAAGGTTGCTGCATGACGTGGTTCGCAGAACAAAGGTTAAGAACCCGTTCAAAAAGAATTTTTTTCTATATTGCATGTTTTGCCATGCATATTACTGAGAGAGAGAGAGAGAGAGAGAGAGAGAAAGGAGAGAAAAAGAAAAAGGGAGAGAAAAACATAATAAAATCATTAAAAAGGCAAACAAAGCAATGCAACGAAAGATATATCAAATGTCAATAGCTTAAATACATAAATACTTTCGATGAAATACAAATACCTCAGAATATATATAGACATATGTTGAAAAAAGATATTTAAAAATCTGCTCTTAGAGGTATATATGCACCATTCTTAAAGTGCAGATGTTCCGCAGATCACCCATTCCCACCAGTCAGCTACGAAGACAAAATTGGTTTAATTCAATTTTATCTCCTTTCAAACAACTTACAGGAAACACAAACAGTTCTGCGCACTTGGCTTAATATGGGGCCAATTGAGAAGAATTCTTGAATCATCAGCTAATAATTACCACCAGTCCTCACGTCCCTTCCACAAACATTTATGAAATTGTGAAGACGAGTTAGGATGAGCATGCTGGGATCGAAGCACTAAATGTTATTTTCGATGGCTTCCCAGTGAAGTGCTTGAAACCATGCAATTACCTAGGTCTACCTTTTCGCATCGAAATTGGATTTAACTGATCCACTGATCATTTTGCTATCTCACTGAGATGACATTTAAAGTCTGTTGATGTGCTTTTATCAGGACCTCTCATCTAATTGGATCATTTACATTATCCTGGCCACACTGTACGCTTCCTATTTCAAATATTTAAAAGCAAAGTTGTGCACCGATATTCTAAATAATATTTTACTAAATAAATTTTGTTGTGGGAGGGAATTAAACTGTTAGAATTCCTGTATTTAAGTCACAGGAACTCCTCTTTGAAGCAACATATTTTTTTACCAATAAAAAACTGCTTGTACAATGAAACATGCACAAGACAAGCACTTGGAATAAAGAATTTCCACTTCGATTGAGTATCTCCATAGATATATATATACAGACCATACCACATTAGCTACAGTCATGCTATATCACATTTGTTGTTTCGCCAAATAACTGTTTTGCAATAAATACTGGTACATCTATTATTTGTGCATTTATTTTTAAAATGCAAAAGCAGCTGTAATTTACCCAGGTCATCATTACAAATTATATTTATTTGACAACTTGGCAAAACATTTCATATATCAATATTCAACCAAGGTAAAAATGATTAAGATCTATTTCTCAAAAAAAAAAAAAAAAAAAAAAAAAAAAAAATTGACTGTGCTTACCCAAAGCAGTATGCCAAATTCAAACTAGCTGATGCAGCAACTTTGCGTAACATTCATCACTTCCTGCAATGTAGATATTCAGTTCGGAGGTTCGGCAACTTTAATAACTTCGAATTCTTCTCCTCAGTCTCTGATGCATTGGAGGCCCTAGAAAGACAGGGAAATCACTATCCATTTATATGTGAACCAATGATGTTCAAACAGATAGGCTTTTATCAAGACTTGTTTCCACAAGTGTAAACCCTGCAAACTGAAAAATCATTTTAATGAAAATATGGCAAATTGTTAACCCGTGTACAACCCCTGTCTTGCCTTTTGGGATGCTAATCTCATCCACAAGTCATCAGTGCAATTTCAATTTTGATGAATTATGATAGAATATCTCAAATTCCCTAGGATCATGCATGGGCTCTAAGTGTACCTTGAAAATAATCATTATTTTCCACTTTGCAACATTATCAAAGTCTGGGTTGTGGCAATATTTTCTTCCAAAACTTTTCCAAAACAACAGCTTTTACCTCCAAGTTCCATGTCTAAAACTAGTGTAATTGCAATTGCTGTTTCAACCTCCCCCCCCCCCCAAAAAAAAAAAAAAATTAAACATGTTAGGTTGCATAACGGGAATTTTCCTAGGATTCTCCAAGGTATAAGAATAACTCATTAAGCAAACAAAAGGGCAGTGATATAAATATCAGAGCCAGATATATAACTGAATGACTGAAACAAAATATGCAAGCACATACTGTACATGATTTCTAATCTGTGCAGCCCACTCATAAGATATGGGCTCAGATCTATTATCCCAGTTTAAAATTAACCAACTTAAGTTCATTCTTGTTTAAACTATCCAAACACCAAAATCCTCACTTCATCTGACTTGACCATTAACTTTGAAAGGTTTTATCATTTTTGCCAATTTGGAGCCCCAAGTCTACAACCAATCACACCAGTGACTTAAATCACAAACTCACAAATGAAAGATTTATTCTACATCAATCTTTTAGAAATGGCAAATGGTAATGAATTATTTTTTGTGGAAATTTCTGACAACCATTTCCACCACATAGCAGCCCTTTATTTGGCCAGACAACAGGCTTGTACATTCCCCCCCCCCCCCCCAATCCTCCCCCAACTCTCCATCTGCCATATATCCCATCAGCAAAATCATTTTTGATGTAAGTATGTACCTGATATGATCTCTAATAACTTTCTAATAATGTATCATACATATATTCCTCACAGGGTGACCAGCACCACATATCCCATAATATCTCCTTATCATCCAGCATCCACCAACATGCCTGGTAAGTGTTATGAAAATTTGGGCTCTGCAAATAAACTACTGCTGCCAGCTAAATTGCCAATTTTCCCAGAGAATTTTTCACATGTGAAGGAATGGTGCAGTGTTGATTTTTGGATTTACCTGTAACCACAAATGTGTGTTCAAAATAATACTTTACCATCGTACTTTTGTTTCTCCTTAATGTTGGATAAAAAAGCACCATTTGCTCCAACAGAAAAAAAGCCAAATCTGAGGTTTTTCCTCCCAAAATATCAATATATTTGCAATGATTTGCAAACCACCAATTGGCCAATGCTAATAAAACAAACACCATTTAACAAAAAACTCTTTTGGTATACCACCCAGTTTTATCCTGAGAGAAAATAAACACAGCATCCCCAGCCACCACCTAGCTATTAGTCCCTGTATTGCCAGGTGTTACGTTATTGTTAATAACAAGGTAAACGATTGATCTTCACACTTCGCTCTATTTTGTTGGCAACATTGATAACTGATTCATCAGGAAACAAAGCAGCAGAAGCAGCAAGACATAACTACTCTGCGGTCACATTAGAATGCCCAGACCAGTGGTCAGGCACTGACCGCTACTTCCTGGAAACACTGAGACCAATCTTCACAAGGAAGCTGCCAGATCTCACGATAAAGTTTAACTGCCACTTAGCATTATGGCTGTCAATTTCAGAAACGAACTGAGACTACATCACAGTGTGTGTAATGTTATATTACTAAAGATATTACAAGTGCTTTATTGTCAAATTCAATGTTGGATATGAATAGGGAATTGCAAACAAGTGCTCTTGCACCAACACCAAACCAGAATAAAAAGGCTTAAAATCTTCTTGTAGAAAAATAGCTGTACACAATGAGTAAAAGGCACATAAGTGGTACCGAACTATAACACTATAACAACTGTAAGACTGTAACAAAAATGATCCAAATGTAAAACAGTAATTCTTTTTTTCCTTTTGTATTTACAACCATATTTCATAATACCAATAGCACACAGCTGATGCCTCCAGAGGCACCAAAAGATACAATTTCAGTATCATGCAAATACATCATTACCCCAAAAAGTCAAATTATTTCCCCTTAAACTTGCAAGGGAGACTAATGTATTTAACTTCATGATTTCCCAAAATGATTCTGCAACACAAAGGTGTCTTCTGTGCACTGGTTCAAATAAATCATACCCTCTAAAATCTATATTCATTGAACATGTGTTCTGCTTGTCGATTTATCTCTACCAAGGGAAGAAACATGCATCATGGTGCCCTGGCATCTTATTCAAGAATTATTTCCCTCTTTTCAATAAAAAGTAAAAAGAAAGAAAAGAAAAGAAAAAAATGTGATATCTATACTGTTTGTTGCATCGTGTTTCAAAACATAACATGCAAAGTGTTAATCATTCTGTTTGATGATGCATTAGAAATGTGCTAGAGGATACCTATGTCACATTCTAACACAATCCCCCAGCATGCCTCTTACTACTGATTATTCTCATCATGAAATTCCACCTTAATTACTACTTAATTGCTGAGAATGCTGTATTCATTTCACTGAAGAATTTTTCTACTTTAACATTGATTTGTGTCATAAGAATTTGAAACACTGAATTGTCCTTACATGTTAGAGAAGATCAACTAAACACATCATTGCAAACTTGAAATCGCCATATATTAATGTAAACTATAATATGCCATCACCAAATTTCAACTGCAGAAAGAAGACTAATCATTACAGACAGTCCATACTCCAGAGTATAGTTAGATTTCACTAACTTTCCTCGAACTGTCGATACTCTCGAGTATCTGAAAGACCTGCATGGCAGTATATATGGGTCACCAAAGCAGCCACAGAGTCTGTACACAGAACCAGGGGAGTCATTAGACGTTGATGAAACCATGGAAAACAAATGGGATAGATTTATAAATGGATAGTTAGCAACATCAGTAGACAACACATGTGCATTACCTATGGTAGCACCTTCTGTTTGCCGAGTCTTTCGAGTTCACCTATGTCCCAGTGAAATTTGTTGCAAAGCTACTCTCTAGTAACTCTATTAATTCTAAGCTTCATTTATACATATAGTTACAAAAATTTATTAAGAAATAGGGTTATATTACGTATATCCTTGGTCTGATGCAATATTTTTAATCACAAAAACTGAATACCATTAACTTAATTTAAAACCCAGTGATAAGCCCTATATCAGTTTAAGACATTTTACAGCAATAGAAATAAAGAGTTTCCAAAACTGAACCAACCCCTGCAAAATCCTAAATCGGCCCTTGATGTCAAAATAAAATTACAGATACTAAACTTGGTTAAATTCAGTGTTTGTAAAATATACTTATTATTGACATCAAAAACATAAATACTGGTCCAACTGGGTGAGTAACATTACAGTGTTCACAACATGTAGTTCTTTTATAATTGCTTTTAAAACATCTCAATCACAACAGAATGACACCAATCTGAAATCAATATGATTAAAACAAATCAAGAGAAATTGATCAATCAGTAAAACTACATGAATCACATACGTCATTAAATTATTACCAACGTGTATTAAATCACTAAACCACAGGTTTTAGTTTTAAGCAAACTGTTTGTATATTTATACTAATAGCATACCTGTTAACCTAATACAAATTTCCTTTTAATCCAATATAGGCAAATTGCCTACCAGTTGAACAAAGCTCTAGCAGCAACGTTGCACCTGATTATGCAGTCAACCATATTGTCTGGGGATTATGTTGTATAAGGCAACAACAAAAGCTAATTATTAAAGTAATTAGGAAGTTCATTATTTTTAAGTCTGATACATCAATCATCCAATATGAAACAATGGATGTGTTGGTATTGACAAAAATATCTGTTATATTCTGAAGGATTTACTAAATGTTACTTTCAAAAGCAAGACTTGGTGCAGAAAAACAAAAAAAGTTAACAAAACTGACCTTTGATTTCACAAATTAATCATTCACTTAGTATCAAATTCTGATTTAACTAAAACAGAAATGTTTTCTTTGAGGATCAAGGTCTAGTAAAAGTCAATTTTCATCTGTTGTTTCACTTTTTTCACAGATTCTGCATATGCCAGAGAAAAAAAATGAAAATAAATAAACACCTTACATCATATGGACCATGGTTCATTCAATTTGAAACCTATGAAACATCATTTATTGATAATGCTGAATGAGAATATAGAATAACATATCAATCAGTCAACACTATAGTTTGTAACATGCTCCTACTTTTTACACACTGTGAAACTAATTTGTCAGCCAGACAAGATATACTGCTTACTCGGTGCTTGCTGGCCTGTTCTATGCCATTGCCTCCAATGAACAATACCCTAGCCTTGCCCGGTCACTCTAAGATGCAATGCAATTATCTAGTTTATGAAAATTGGAACAGACTGCCAAATGAGTGGCTAATTCAGTTTGGTCACAGCTGAGGTAAAGGTTTGCTGCATTCCTCTGGTCAGCCAGCCAGTACCAAACAGTAGCCTTGGTGGACAGAGGGCAATGAGGCAATCAAAAATGGTAATTTACTTGATAAATGTCCAATACAGCTACTGCCACTTATATTTAATTGGGTTTAATTGTCCTAGTATTCAGACTGGCGTAGTTGGCACTGGTGGGATGAAGTGTACTGGTCGGATGAAGTGTTAAATATTCACGACATCCTATATGCACTTATTTGGGCATAATCTAATCAGTGACTGCTAGATGGATCCTAGACATTGTATGTTTCTGATGTTCCTAACTTGCCACTTCTGAGGTCAGTTTTATAAAAGAAGTTCAAGTGAAAAGGCAACTTTTACACCATATTCAGACAC